TAGCACAACTAAATACGCGTTTATGATTGAACTCTTGCCACCATCTCTACCGCGATATGGTGATGGTAGGACCAATCGATGCACTTCCTTCCATTCAAATATAGCTTTACTCCTTACCGTCAGCAAGAGTAGGATTTATAGTCGCAAATTCCGGCTTTCCGCTCTGCATAGCCTTCGTGAAACTTGGACACGATTCGCCCTCTACACCCTACAGACAGACGACGGCAAATGACCGAGCAGAGAATGCAAAATTGAGTATTCTTACGATGACTTGAGTACTGGGACACACGTATTTGATGGCACAGCCCACACCGGCTATCAAGCCGGCTCCACCGATCGGCACCAGAACCGCGTCAACATCAGGTACCTGCTCGATTATCTCCAGACCTGCGGTACCATTGCCCGCAATCACATCGGGATGGTCATATCTGAAATGTCGTGGTGACTTAAATTTGAATCTGCTCAGAACAAATCGCAAAATGACAACTTTGCAAGAGCATAGGCAAACTAATCAGAAAAAACATAATGCATGGCACCTCCAAAACTCGATCACATGCCGGATTGCACCGACTACTTCTCCCAGCTGCCTAATCCTCCGAGGGGAGGAAGGATTTAATCAGGTCACAGCTCCATGATATTTGAGCAACCACAATACCAGATACACTTCGCGTCGTTTATCCGCTGCAGCCAAATCGCACTAACGATGTTTCAGAAGATGGTATAATAAATTATTATAAGATATAATAAGTAGTTAAACAACCATGCACATCTGAGCAACTCCGCCGTTGCTGGTCTCAAGTCTGCATGAGAAGACGGAAAGTCTGGCTCCGTCGTAAGGTCTCCTGTAAAACATATCTACTTGCCCCTCATGATCTTGCAACTATGGAACGCTGTACTGACTCGGTGGTCGCCCGGGTTACCAACAGCTGCGCAAATTGTTGAGAAATTGAGGCAAAATGTGAAAAGTTGCCAGTCAAAACCCTCCTCGATGACGAATTGGAATGACCAGCGGCGTTCTGCGTGAATTAGCCCCAATCGCGACGACCAAAGCAGAGCTGAGTCTGAAAATTAAGCTCTCGGTATTCAAGTCGATTTTGATTCTCATGCTCACCTACGGTCATGAGTCGTAAACCATGACTGTAATGATTCGAACCGGGGAACAAGCTGCTGAAATGGGCTTTCTTATGTGAATTGCAGTATTCACGTATTTTGACATTGTCTGGTGTACAGATTACAGATGTTCGAGAGAGCCTTGGTACAGAGCCACTGATTCTTCAGATTGAAATGTCACAGCTGCGATGGTTAGCTCTCATTTTGGAAATACATTCAGAAAGGAATGCTAAACCGCTACTACTTGCCGAATTGACGGCCAAAGTCCCCGGAGACGACCAAGAATGACCTCGGGAAAGTGCCTAGATATAGCAGGCTCCAGACTCAGAGGCGATTGAGTATGCAGTGACAATCGCAGTAAAATAAAATAATAATATTGATCGATTTATTTATCTGCGTTAAACTTTTTGATTTACGTTTATTATTAGATAATTTATTATTCTAGCATTAATGGCTGCATATCCATAACATTAGTTAGAGAAGGCGACGGATATTTTATCACATTTTAGGAAAACTTTAACCTCTCTCAATGCCACATTGAGTGATAGCTTCATTTGGTCATGCTGTAAAACGCAAATTCAAATTGTGCTCCTTGCTTTCATCCCCACAAGCGTAAGAACTGCTGGTATTCCTGTTTGTTTACAGAAATAATTTATGTGATGATCATGATAATGACGGATAGAGAAATAAGCTACAGATTTGTTGGAAACGGAAGCCACCGTCAGAGGTTAGTAAAAATGATGCAAGGAGAGTGAGACAATTAATGCCGCTGTTGAAGACGACTGTGACTCTAATAGATGTAAAAACGGGCGAATTGCTTAAATGGCATTTACTGGACCATTCATAACTTTAAAACGGAATTTTGATTTACTTTCCTGATAAGAATCGAACCGCATTGTGTACTTCTTTCACAAGTACCGATTCTGACTTCAATAATTTCAGAATTCCATGGTCCTTTCATTGGATTTTTTTTCGGAGGCGTTCAGAGGATGTTCAGGTTTGGACTATTTTAAATGGCAAGTGAGGGAAAAAGTTCCACGCACTTCCTTAACAAATAATAATCAGGATTACTTTTAACGTGTTCTACTGAGTTTTTCAATTTTCTGTGTCAGATGGGAACATCTTATTAACCTTTGCAGTTGCTCGATCAGCCTCTATACTTTTACATACCCACTAGAGCTAAAGTAATGTTTAAACTCGTTGAGAATCATCAGCTTTTTACAGACTCTATGTGGTTCCTGTACATGCTCTCAGAACATTTCATTCCTTTCTAATTGGATAAACACTAAAATGACAGATAATACCCTAAGCCCTATTTCTGTAAGTTCTATAGCCTACGGAAATCTTAGGAATTAATCTTGCAGGTTTCAACAACATTATGCCCAGTACCTAAGAAGATTAAAAGGTATGATCTTCAAAATTCCAGTTCCGCCAATGACTGAGAAACTGGAGAACTGAACCGCGATATGACATCAATACTTGTACAAGTACAGTAAACTAACTGTATTTTCGTGCTTTCAGAGTGTTTTCAGGCTCAGATTCAGTAAATATAATATCTGAGGAAAATATTCCAGCATTATTGGATGTCAAGGTCTACCGATGCTATGACACACACCGCACATGATCACAAATGCAATGCCTTATCGTCGAAACGTCACGATTCAGAGAGGCAGCAATGCCAAGGAGAACAACTTTGCTGAGTTGCCCAAGACAGACGGTGCAGAAGTTCGAACGAACATCAGACTGAGGCAAGCAGTGTTTGAAGAAACTCACTATTCGTGATAAAATATTTTCATATTTATGTAATAGCTTGATCAACGAATGGGTGAACGTACGGTTGAATAAAAGTTTATTGACTGATAATAGATATACAGATAAATAGGCAGATACATAGACAGATGCACTGGTTGATTGATTTATGAATAGACCGATAAACCGATTGATAATTTTAAACGATGAGACTTGGAAGTGGGCTGTATTATACGAACTATAATAACAGCCTATTCAAAAGTGTGATCGTTTTCACTATTGAGAAAGAAGAAAACCGCATCCCACCCTTCTTGCTAATAAGGCACAACCAGCGGGGATATTTGACCATGGTGTTTTACGAGAAGATGCATACCAACAGGTATCTAAATCACTCTTCTTACCATCCAGATTGTGTAAAGAAAGGTTTCGTCAGTACACTTCTCCAAAGAGGACTGAAGATATGCACAACTGATGATAATTTTCGCTAAGGACTAAGTCACATCAGATCGACGCTGCAAAAGAACGGCTATCCCGTGAACACAATTAACGAATGCACGGTAAATTTATTAAGACAAACAGCCTCTTTCGCCTACCATATGCCAAGACTTACATCTCCTTGCCATGTCTTTGCTACCTAAGTAAAACCTTATGGCAAAATGGAGCCGTGACAGGATTCAACTTAGTGCACCTCTATGTAGCCAAGTAAGCCACCTCAAGACGACCGAGAAACCTTAGGAGCAGAAAGTCGGCTGGGTGTGCCAATTTTTTTGCTCTTGTGCTTCAATTTATATAGGCGAAACAGGAGCAGGGAGTTTGAAGAGAGGAAGACAGACCACATGAGGAACCTGATCCGGTGGAAGAACGTTTATGCTAGAGAACGGGGTCAGCAACAAGATTGCAGAAGTCGGAGTCAGACG